AAAAAAATATATATATATATATATATATATATATATATATATATTTTATCATTTTTACATAAAAATAATTAGATAATAGAAATCGAATAATAATAAAATAATTTGCATTTTAAAATATAAAATATAAATAATATTAAAATTATAAATATATTATCAATAATTTTAATAATTTAAACTTTATTATATTTTTTTTAAAAAAACATTTATTTAATATATTAAGAAAAAAAATATATAAAAAAAATGTAAAATCTTTAATATAAAAAGTTATATAAAGAAATAGAAATTATTGGTAGAGGAACATTTGGTAAAAAATATATATATTTATTAAATAATATAGTAAACTAAAATTAAATATATATTATAATTAAAGCTAATAATTTTATTTATAAAAAATATAAAACAAGGATATGCAACTCTAGTTTAAAATTTTTAAAATAAGCATCTTTTTGTAGCTAAAAAGATTATTTTAGGAAGTTTAACTAAAAGTAATAAGAATTATCTTTATAAGAAGTTATATAAATTATTATTTTTAAAAAATATATTAAAATATAATACTTTATAAAGGCCTGTTTATTAAAAGAATTAAACCATCCAAATATAGTATCATATGTAGAAAGTTTTTAGGAAGACGAATTATTAATTATTATAATGGAATATTGCCAAGAAGGCGATCTATCATACCATATAAAAAGAAAAAAATAAAAAAAAGAATATTTTCCTGAAAAACTTATAGCTCATTGGTTCCTTTAAATTGTATTTTCTCTAAAATATATACATGAAAAAAAAATATTACATAGAGATATAAAAACTTCAAATATTTTTCTAACATCAAACGGTACTGTTAAATTAGGTGATTTTGGAATTTCTAAAGTTTCTGAAAATACAGATTTAATAGCTAAAACTGTAGTAGGAACACCTTACTATATGAGGTTTATATAAATATATAATAATATTTAAATATAGAATAATAAATATGTATATATATATATATATAAATAAATAAATTATTAAATAAATAAATAAATAAATATATATAAAATATAAATATATATGTATATAAATATAAATAATACTAATCTTTTTATAAGTCCAGAAGTGTGCGAAAGTAAAGCATATACATGCAAGTCAGATATTTGGGCTTTAGGTTGTGTTCTATATGAAATGTGTACGTTATTGGTAAATTATTATTATATTATTAATTTATTGTTAAGTAAAAATATATAACACTATATAAACAAAGCATGCTTTTGAATCTGATAATTTGCTAGGATTAATATATAAAATTGTAAATGAAAATATTTAGGATATACCTTGTTTTTATTCTAGAGAATTAAATTAATTAATAGGTTAATTATTAAATAAAAATGAATATTAAAGATTAACTATTTAGGAAATTTTAAATACTTAATACATATAAAAAATGTTTTATGAATTTGCAGAAGTAAAAGGTGAAAATGAAAATAATTAATTTAACAATAATAATAATTATATAAAAAATAATATAAATGTAGAAAATATAAATGATAATAAAAATGAAATGGATAGTAAAAATAATAATAATATTGATAATAATAATAATAATAATAATAATAATAATAATAATAATAATAATAATAATAACAATAACAAAAACAAAAACAATTTTAATATTAATAATAATTAAGATAATGAAGAATAAAATATTTAAACTGTTATTTAATAAGATTAATTACATTAGCAAAATAAAAATAGGATTTAATAATAACTTCATTAATAAAATGAAGAAAAAAATAAAGACGAGAATTATAATAGTACTGTTAGAAAATCTGTTTAAATTTAAGAAAAAATATAAATATAAAATAATAATATTTTCGCATAAAAATAAAATAATTTATATAATTATAGTGAGGAAAATTATAATAAATTGAACAATACTAATGTTTTTAAAAAAAAAAAATGCATAAAAAATAAATAAGAATAAAAATAAAATGATGTTTTATCAATATAATTAAAAAAAATAATAATAATAAAAATAATAAAAATAATAATAATAATAATAATAATAATAATAATAATAATAATAATAATAATAATAATAATCATAATACAAACATATAAAAAAAAATAGTATTGAAGAAAAAGATTATGAAAAAGAATAATTTGAAGATTATTTAAGCGACGATGAATAATTAAAAATAGAAACTAAATAACTATTTTCAAATGCCATTTAAAAAACATCTAAAGTTCTATATAAATAACCAAATTCTAAAATTAAAAAAATATTTAGTGCAAAAACTTAAAATGAGTGTAACTATTATTATTATTTTTTTCTATATAAAAATATTATATTTTTTATTTATAAAAAATCTAATAAGAATATTAGAATAAAAAGTAATAAAATGTTAGTATTCCTGAAATTTAATAAAATTTAACTATTGTAAATTTAAAAAACAAATGTATTTAAAAGTTAGGAGAGAATATGTTTATTTAAATATATAATCTTTATAAATAATAAGTATAAACGGGTATATAAATTAGTTAAGTAATATTAATAATATAATAAAAAGATATAATTATTTAAATAATAAAGGTATAATAATAATTAAAAGAAATTCTAGGCAAAAAAAATGCTCACATGGCTTTTGAAGTCGAATAAATTATTTATAAAGAAGAAGAATAGAATAATTTAAAAAAATGAAACGAATTTTCTTTTACTATTTTTTTATTAAATTAAATTATTATTTTTTAAATATATAAAATATTATTTTAATAATTCTTAATTATTTCTAGTGTATTTATTTATTTATATATTTATTAATTATTCGCTTTTTAATTTTTCATTTTTACTTTTCATTTATTTTTTGTAAAGAAATTTATTTAATCTTATGTTAAAAATTATGATCTATATCTATATTTTGAGTTTTTTTTATTAAAAATAAAAGATAAATAAAAAAATATTAAAAGTAAAAATAATTCAATTTTTTATATTATTTTTTTAATTACTAGCAGAAATATGTATTTTTTTATTAGTTTTATTTATATTTTTACGAATTTCTTTTAATATTATTTTATGAATAATTGATAAAAAACATTTTTTAATACTTTGTATATTACTTATTTTATTTTATGCTTCTTCTTTTTTATTTTATTTTAACTTATTATATAAAAAAATCAAAAAATCATATTATTTATATATATTTGTTTATATTAAAAATAATAATAAAATTTATTTAAAAAATATATATATATATATATATATATATATATATATATATATATATATATATATATATATATATATATATAAGTCAATTAATCAAATATAAATTAATTTAAAATATATTCAATTATTTTTAATATATTAATTTTGATAAAAAAAAAATTATATTAGAAAAGTTTAATATTGGTTAAAATATATTTATTCTTATTAGAATTCAAATAATAATTTGAACAAAAATAAAAATTAAATGTTAAAAATATTTTACTTTTAATTTATCTTTTATTTGAAAAAGATGTATTTATATATTATTTTCATATATATTTTAAATAAATATTAAAAAATACCTTTAAACTATTTTTAATTAGTATATATATATAAAAGATAAAATATTAATTTTAAAATATTATTATATTAACTAAAAATATATTAAATATTAAAAATATTATTATTTTTTATATAAAAAAAGAGACATTTTAAAAATTAAAAAAAATTGAAATTCAATAAATTGCAATTCTTTAAAGTAATAAAAAAAAAAATTAATTTAAATATATAATTAAAGATAGTAAATAATATATTAAAATTATAAAAAAATTAAAATTGTATATACATATATATATACATATATATATACATATATTTATATATATTATATATTTAAATAATTTATATATATTATTCTTATTATATTTTTATTAATTCATTATTCATTAATTATTTAATTTTTTTTTTATATATTATATTTTTATATTTAAAAAATAATATTTAATAATACTCATAAATTTAATAAATGATATTTTTTTTTTATATATTAAAATAAAAATTTATTAAAAACATATTTTCAAAAATAAATAATATTTTTTTTAAAAATAAAAAAAAAAATATATAAAAATTAATAATATATAATTTTGAATGAATTAATAATTAGAATTATTACTAGATTTATAGCAACATCCTTTAATTAGAGTTTTTTTCTAAGGATGGAATGTAAATAAAGCTTTAAGTTTTGCTTAAAATTTAATGCTTTTATCTATAGGAGTAGCTTATAGACTTCTTGATGAGAATAATCCCGAAGAATCATATAAAAAATAATTAAGATGGCATGTATTTAAAATAAAATATAAAAAACTTATTTATAATATAATAGATTTTATTTTTATTTATGCAACAATTAATTTTTATTTTAAAAATAATTGAATTAATAAATACATGTATATAAACATATATATATATATAAATAAAAATTATAAATAGAAAATGTTGAAAAAGAATATTTGAATAAATTTGCAAACTCAAAAAGATAAAAAAATAAATAAAATACAGAATTGTAAATTAAAGATTTTTAAAAAATTAATTAGCTAAAGAGTTAAAAAAAAATACAAAATGAATTTAAAATAAATGATAATGAATAAAATTTATTAAATTAATAAAATGATGAGAAATAAAAAATAAAGACAAACCTTTCAATAAAAATATCAGTAATATCAGATATACGAATATATATATTTTTCTATATTAAAAAATAAATAAATATTAGTATATATATATATATATATATATATAATATTTATATATTTATATATTCTTTTATATATATACTTAATATTTTTTTTATCTAAAACTTTTTAATAATAGCCTTCTTTATCTTCTAATAGAAATTTAAATAATATGTGTTATTAATAAAGATAAAATATTTCTGATTTTAAAAAAATATAAATTAAAATAGCTCAAAATAAATAAATAATAACAATGCCTATGAAAACTTAAGTTAAAATACGATTGAAAAAGAATAATAATTATAAAAAACACATATAATTGACAAAATAATTAATTAATAATAACAAAATAACATTTTTTAATAATAATTATATTTTTAAGATATGCATTTTGTAAATAATTAATATGACTTTAATTATTGTGAAGAATAATATATTGATGAAATCAAAAACAAAATTAAGAAATAACAAAGTATTTAGTTAAATTAAACAAATGAAGAATTTAAAAAACTTTCCAAAAATAATTCTACTTAAGATAATAACGATTCTAAAAAAATATAAATTATTTAATAATAATAATAAAAAAAGAATATTTTAGATATTGCTAATTGTTTTCTTTCTTCACCTTTGATTTAATTTTTTGATGAAAAAAATGATAATTCTTCTCATTCTAATCAATTTTAATCTAATTAAGAAAATAGTAAAAAAGTTGATTCTAAAAGTTAAAATACATTAATTTCGAATACTAATAGTTATAAATCTTTTAAAAAAAGTCCTTGTAAAAGAATAGATCATTAAGTGAAATAATAATAGGAAATAATTACTAAATAATAAAATAATTTAAATTATAAAGAAATGATAAATTTCGTTTAAAAATAATCTATTTATGATTAAAATAAAGAAAATAGAAATAATTCAAATAATAATTTTAATAACATATAAATTGGTATTTTTTTATTTATTTATTTATTAATTTTTATTTTATTTTTTTATTAAGAAAAAATTTTAAAATTAAATGTCCAGATTTAAATGAGGAAAATTAAAAAAGAGAAAAAATTAATTTTCTGTAAAAAAATAAATAAAAAAATTTGAAAATTTGCAATATTTAATAAAATAATTGAAAGCATTATATTAAATTTTGAAATTTTTAATTTATTTATTCAATTTTTATATTATTTTTAAAAAATATTTTATATCTTTCTTTAATTTATAGATTTACATAAGTAAACAATTTTTATATCTTTTATAAAAAAATAAAAAATAATAATAAAATATTTTTTCTAATTTTATAATTATATAAAGTCATATTAATAATAAAAATGAATATATAATAATTAAAGAATTAAATAAAAATATTAAAAATTTTACTATAAATATTTTTTAAATGTTTATAGTATTAAATGTTATAAATAAATAAAAATATGTTTTATTCCTTTTTAAAAATAATATTTATAAATAGTGAAATATGTATTTATATATCAAAATAATTTAAATTCTCTTACTATATATCACATTTATTTATAATATATTCAATTATAAATATTATTTATAATTTTATTATATTCAATAATATTAGTCTAAACGTTGAAAAAGCAAAATTATAAACTTTTTACAAAAAAATTAATCAGTTAAATAGAATTATTAAATAATAAGAATATAAAAAATAAATAAAATATTGCAGATTTATAAAAAGTATAATCATTTTTTTATTTATATAGAAATAAATTAATATTAACAAAGTTAGTATTATAAAATTTATTATTAGCTTCGAATGACTATTTTTTTCTAATATATATAATAATTTCTTCCTTTATATCTCACACCAGTTTATAAGAAAATAAACTTTTTTATATATATTTGAATAAGATCTATTATAAAAACGATAAAAAAGTATAATAATCAGTTAAAATACATATTCTGTTAATAACTAATAATTTAATATTCATTATGTTTATATTAAATTTTTTTTTTAAAAAAAAAATATTATTATCAATCATTTATTAAAGAATTTATATTTCTTAGCATTCAATATAAATTAAATCATTGAGTAATAGTTAATAAAGCTTAGATAAATTAGTTGAACTATAAAGTTATGAATAAAATAAAAATTATATTTATTATAAGATATTATTATAATGTTCAAATATCGTAATTATAATAGAAAAAGATATTTGAACAATATATAATTATTAAAAAGTAAATTTTTATAATTAATAAGATATTTTTAATTAAAAATTAAAAATAAAATAAATAGATTTGAAAAAAATTAAAAAATATAATAATAATAAGTAAAATAAATATAAAATTATATTAAAAAATATTTAATATTTGAAAGATAATTATTTATTAAATTAAAATATGTTTAAAAATTATATATAAATATTGAATAAAGAGATTTAATAAAATAGAGTTAAATATATTAGTTATAGAATTATATAATTTAATTTTTTATAAATAATATAATGATGTTTAATTAATTAATTATATTAATAAAAACATATTTATTAAAAATAATTTAAGATATTTATTAAATTAAAAAAAAACTAATTATTAATATAAAAATATATATTATTATATATTAAAATTAAATATATATAAATATATAAAATATATATAATATTTTATATATAAAATATATTTATATATATCTTTTTTTATATATTTATTTAATTTTTTCTTTTTTTTTAATATTTTTATTTTGTATATTTATTTATTTTTTATATAATTTTTTTATATATTAGCATTTTAATTTATATTATTAATTAGTATTTATATTTATTACAATTTTATTATTTATTTTAAATATACTTGTTTTTTTATTTCTTATATAACATAGCATTTTTTTTAATATTAATTTATTTATTTTTTATTAAATTTATTTTTTATTATTATATTTTTTTAGTATTACATAAAATAATAATATTAATATATTTTTTTATTTTTTTTTTACTTTTTATTTTACATTTCATATTTCAAAATTATCCTTTTTTATTAAATTTTAAAAATGCATCGAAACTAATTGTTTTTCCTTTACCCTCAGGATCACATTTTATCATCATTTATTAAATTTCATTATCTGTAGCATCTTCCCCTAATAAAACTGACTATTTTTTAATATCTTCAGCTGTCAAATAATTACATTCATGATCTATTTTCAATAAATCGAAAATTCTCAATATATCATCATCATTATCTCTATCACAAGGCTTCATAGCCATCATTTTTACAAATTCTTCAAAATCAATTTATCCGTTAGAATCGCTATCAAAATCTCCTATTATATTATATATAAGATTCCTTGAGGCATTAAAACCTCCTATTTCTTTGAGTGCAATTCTTATATCTTTTGGAGTTAATAGACCTTACTCGTGAGAATCTAAAAAATCAAATATTTATTTGTATACTTCGATTTCTTGTTCAGATACACCCGGGACTACAAATTCTCTAGGGTCAAAGTTGTTTCCTTTTAATGGATTTTGAATTGGTTATTGTAATTCAAGAAAATTCTTTGATTATAATATTAATGATGTTTTGCTAATTTAATCTGATTTATTAACATATGATTTTGAATTACTATTATTTTAATTCATTTTTTTTTTTGTGGAAAATAAAAAAATAAGTTATTTATTTTATTTTAATGATAAGTTTTACAATTTTTATGTTTAAAATAAATATAATTTATATTTTTAAAAAATTATGTATTAATAATAATAAATTTATTTACAAAATTAAACATGTATTTTTTTTTTATATATATAAATATATTTTAATTAATACATTCATTTATTTATTTTTAATATAAAAAATATTATACTATATCATTTTTCGATTGGAAGTATATACTTTTCACCTGATCTTAAATATGCTTTTGTTCCTTTTTTAATTTTTTGTCCTGGAAAATAACATTAACTAATTCTTACCCAATAACTAAATTAATCATTAGTATTATTTTTTTACACAGTAAATTTTTCTTAAATAAAAAATTATAAATTATATATTTAAAAAAATATTTATATTTTATTAAAAAATATCAAAAAAAATACATGTTTGCTCATCCCAATAAATATTAAGTTTATTTTATTCAAAATTATAAAAATTCTTTTTATTTTTAATTAATAATAAAATAAATATAATACATCTTCATATTTATCTACAATAATAAGTTAGGAATTATTCTACAAATAATAAACTTATTCTTAAATATCCCCCTAAACAAAGGAAAAAATCCCATTTATACATTAACACTCAAATTCCATATGACTCAAGAACCCATCTAAAATATAAAGACAGAAATAAGGGCCAGTAGTACTCATTTTATTGACAACTATAGTAGTTTATCCTACCACAAACTCATGCCCAATTTTTAATTCATAATCTTATTCATCGTCTGGATTTTTTAAATAAGTTCCATTTATACTTCCTTCATCGCAAATTTTAATTTGTGAATCTTCAAGTTCTATTCTAACGTGGTATTAGCTAATTGTTTTATCAGGTATATTTACGTAGAATTTAGTACATTCCTAATTACAAGGCATATCTTGGATTTCTTTTTTTTGTTTTTTTTCTTTACAACTTTTACATAAATTTGGTTAAGTAATATTGTTTCCAACTAAAAATAAAGTATTTATGTTTCTATACCAATAAAATTTGTTCGGCTTAATTGCAGAACTTAAGCGTGCTATATAACTTTACATATTTTCTGATTTCGTGCATTTTTCATCATTAAATTGAGATATCTTTTTTTTTGATTTAATTATGAAATTATTTTTTTTTAAAAAAAAAAAAAAACTTGTAATTAAGGTTGAGCTTTATCATTTCTTTAAATAAATTCTTCTATTATGTTAAATTCAAATTTTATAATTCTTTATTGACTGTTTTGCTCATTTTATTGTTCTTATAAGGCTATTTTATAATATCAAATATGATTTTTATTTTAATTATTAAATTTTTTTAGTATAGGGAACTTCTTTAAAATTCATTTTGGTTTTCTTATTAAATATAAACTATTTCAATTTAATATTTTTTTTTATATTATAATTGTGTGTTTATTTATTAAAAAACCTTTTTTCGACATATTTTTTTTATAATGTAATGATATTTTAATTAGATTTTTTTTTAATTTCTTTTTTTTAAAAAAAACTTTTGTAGATTTTGTATTAATAAATAATTCAAATTGATATAATAAAATTAAATAAACATGAATTATAAAAAAAATAAAAAAAATATAATTAAATAATATTTTTTATAAAAGAAATATTTTAAAATTGATATAATAAAATGAAATAAACATGTATTATTAAAAAATATAATTAAATAATATTTTTTATAAAAGAAATATTTTTTTAAATTCAATATAAATATCTTTTATAAAAAAGGAAATATAAAAAAAATGGATTTTTTAATTTCTTAGACAATGTGTTATTGTCGAATAATAATAACAAAAGAAAATGCTTGGGAAAGCTTTAATATTTTGGGAAAATTAAATTGTGTTCATTAAATAGATTATGACGATAATATTCCTCAAATAAGTAGACCTTATTATAATTAAGTAAAAAGATGCGAAAAAATTCTTTATTAAATTGAAAATATAAAACATATGATAAAAAATTTCGAAATGAAAATAAAAGAATGTTTAAATATAGAAAATCTCATTTAAATAAATTTTAATTAAATGGAAAATAATAGATAAACAAACGGATAGACATATATAAATAAAATAGAGGAAGAAATAAATATATAATATATATAATTAATAAATTAAGTCTAACATTATGATTTTTTATAATAAAAAGAATAAAATTTAATTGAATATGAAATTTTTTTGAATGAAATAATAATGCAATAGTTTTTTTTTTCAGAAGAAAATTAAACCTTTAACTTAAATAAATTTTGTGGTATTATTAATTGCGAGAGTAAATTGTTATTTTAAAGATCTATTTTTAGAATAAGTAAAGGAAATGCATATATTTAAATTAATGATATTCAAAATAATGAGAAATATAAGAAAATAAATGCAATGTTTATTGTTATTTTTAACGGAGATTGTAATACTATTTTATTTAAAAAAATTAGTAAAATTTGTGAGTCTTTTAAAGTTAAATTATATGAATTGCCTAAAGATTTAGACTAATCTGTTTAATAAAGTTAAAAAATTAAAATAGAATAAGAAGAATGTAGATAAGTAAATATTTATAAAATTTTTTGTAAGCTTTTTTTATTAATAAAAAAATAGCTAAAATAATTAACAGAAAATAATATAAAAAAAAATTTAAAAGATTTTATTACAGATAAAAAAAAATTGGAATGCTCATATATAGAATTCTTAAAATTTTATATTTTAAAAGAAAAAGAAATTTATACAAAAATGAGTATGCTAAAATTATAAGGTTCTGTATATATAGGTAATAAATATATATATATATATAATATATATATATATATATATATATATATATATATTTTACAGATATCTATATATAAAATAAATATTTAAAAGGTTATTTTTGGATACCAGAAAATAAATATTAATATGTAGTATCTTCTTTTGATTAATTACATAATAAAAAAAAATTTTTGCCAGAAAATATAATATAAAAATTATCATACAAAATGCCTTTAAGTCCTCCAACATATTTTCCTGTTAATGATTTTACATTTGCATTTTAACAAATAGTCAATACATATGGAATACCTCGTTACAAAGAAATAAATCCTGGTCTTTTTACAATTACAACTTTTCCATTTTTATTTGGTGTGATGTTCGGGGATATAGGTCATGGATTTTTATTATTAATATTTGGTTTATATTTAATTTTATGAAAAAATAAAATTATGTAATAATAATCTTCTGTTATATTTTAGGGAGTTCTTCCTATTCGTTATTTAATTACTCTGATGGGCTTATTTGCATTTTATTCTGGTTTTTATATATAACGACTTTATGTCAATGAAAATTAGTATATTTTAGAGTTGTTATTAGGATTTTAATCTGAAAAAATGTACTTATTTATTCGGAATTGATCCTTTTTGGGGAAAAACGGAAAACGAGTTGAATTTTTTGAATAGTTTTAAGATGAAATTGGCGGTTATTTTGGGTGTTTTTTAGATGCTTTTAGGTATTATTTTGAAGGGTATTAATTGTATTTTGAAGTAGTAATGGATCGATTTTTTTTTCGAGTTTTTACCCTAATTTATTTTCATGAGCTTGATTTTCGGATATATGGATTTCCTTATTTTTTATAAATGGAGTTTAGATTTTTAGGTTTAAATTATTTAACCGCCTTCTATTATTGCAGTTTTGATTGATATGGGATTATATTTTGGAAAAGTCAAAGGCGATACCATTATTTAAGACTAGGAATTGGTTTAGGTCATTTTTTTGGTTTTGGCAATACTTTGTGTGCCTTTAATGTTATTTCCTAAACCTATTATTTTATATTTTTAAAAATAATAAATTTTATTGCAGTAAAATAAATAGAGTATATATTAATCATTTATTGAAAAAGTAATTTTTTTTAAAAAAAAAAAAAATAAAATAATAATTTAAATTTAATTTTAAAAAATAAATAAAGGAAGATTAAGAATAAATAAATCTTGCAAATGATCTTGAAAGAGCTTAAATTAGCTTAATTAGAAATACTCATGAATAAGAACTTCTTTCTTCTTCTAATGAACTATTTGTTCATTAAGTTATTGAAACCATTGAATTTGTTATAGGTTCAGTTTCTAATACTGCCTCTTATTTGCGTTTATGGGCATTATCTTTAGCTCATTCATAATTAGCGTTTGTTTTTTTTGATAAAATTATAAAATATTGGATTGAAAGTGGAAATATATTTATGGTATATTTTTTTTATTATCTAATTTTATATATTTATAAATATAAAAGCTTATTATTTCTTTTTATTTATTTTCGATAATTACTATTGGAATTCTAATGTTTATGGATGTTATGGAATGTTTTTTACATGCATTAAGATTACATTGGTTATATATATTATTTTTTTAATGATTAAAAATTATTTAAAGGGTCGAATTTTAAAACAAATTTTATAAAGCAGACGGGTATTTATTCGAGCCTATTAGTTTTTAATAAATAATATTAAATTAATAATTCTAATCTTAATGAGATTAATATTATTTTTTTTAGTTTTATTGAATTTTCTTTTATTATTTTATTTTTAATTTTTTAAAAAATATAAAAGATATTTTTCATATACAATAAATAATATTATTTAATATATTTTAATTATTTATTATATTTTTAAACTTTATTTATTATAAATTAAAATTTATATAAATATATTTAAGATTATTTAAATTAAATATTTATTTTTTTTAGTTTTAATATATCAAATTATAAAATTAAGGAATTAAAGATAATAAATTGTCATATTATTTTTTTGTAGTTTATAATTTTTAATACAGGGTATGCGTGTAAAAAAAATAATGTTGTTTTCTTTAAAAAAAAAATAGTGATTTAATATTATAAATTAAAATTGAAATATTATTAAATTAAAAAATACATTTAATACTAAAAATAGTTAATATTTAAATAGATGGAATATCCAAAATATTAAAGATAAATATAAATAAAATAATAATTATTTAATAATTGCTTAATGTAAAAATTTTATTTATTAAAGGAAATATATATAAAAAATAATAATATTTCAAAATGATTTTTATTAAAAAAGTATATATTTAAAAAAAAAATTAATTTAATATATTAGTTTTTAGAATGATTTTTTTTGGTAATTTTTTGTTTAAAAATTAATCAAAAGAAAAAAAAAAAAAGCCATAATTTTTTTTATTTGATTATGTTTTATGAAAAAAAATTACAGAATAAATAATTAAAAAAAACATTTAAAAAAAAATATATATAATATTATTAGTAAATTAAAAAATTTATTTTACAATTATTATTTATTTTTTCATAAAATTTAATAAATTTATTAAATTTTACTTCTTATTATTATATTTAATTCTTAAAATTATATAGGTAGATAGTCAAAAACTTATTTTCTAATATAAAAAATTATAATTCATTATATTCAAAAAAAAATATATATATAATTTACTCTAAATAAATTCTTTCTGATTCTTCATTTAATAATCTATAAGAAATCAAAATACCTTTTTTTTATTTTTATAAAATAAATAAAATATTTACTTTATTTATTTTCATCTTAAATATTCATTAATTATTATTTTAAATCATTTAATCTTTATATATAATATTTATTATTTTTATTTTAAAATTAAAATCTTTTGCTTATTTCTTAAAATATTTAATCTTAATTATCTAATAATTATTCAATATTTTATATTTGTTTCTATAATTTATATTATATTATCATTTTTTAAAAACAACACTTAAAAATAATTACGTTTTCAGACATTTAATTTAAAATTGTGTTCTGTTTTACAATACAAAATAATTTCTTTTATATTGAAATATCAACAAACTTTGATATTGATAAATATTTTTAATCTTTTTTATATAATCAAAATATTATATAATATAATATATTTAAATTTATATATATCAGTTTTTTAAACCTTGATTTTCTGTATTTGAACAACAATATATGTTAAAAATATTTATTACTTATAAAATATTAAATGTTTCAGGCTCTAAATATCTCCAAATGATTATAAAATCTCGTAATTAAATATAATTATTTTTATTTAACTTTATATATAAATTTATATAAAAATTGAATATTTTATTTTTAAAATAAATAAATAAAACATCTGCTGCATAAAATAAATTCTTAATATTTTCTAATGTAGATTTTTATATATTTTTATAAAGGAAGCTTATTTCATTAAATATAAAATCAATATCAATAACTTTATTTTATTTTTTATAAAATATAATTAAACCAAATTATTTTTACATCCTTCTGAAGCATTCTATTTATCATTTTAATTTATTTAATCAATTTTTTAACAAAAAGATTAAACTTAATCTATATTTTCATTTTTACTAAAATATTATTATATATATAACTTTATTCTATTCTTATTTTTTATTTTATTATAAAAATAAAAATGTATTTTTTTACAATATCACATAATAATTATTCACTTGTATTTTAAATAATAGAGATTCCATTTTTAGTTTTTTCATCTAAAAACTTAATTAAATCAATATAAAATTAGAATTAATCTATTTCCAAATTTAATTGACTTTCCATAAGTCCAATAAATCTTCCAAAAATATAAATTCTACTTTTATCCAAATAGAAGTAAATACTTTCCAAATATTGCTCTAATTTACTTTCGGCTACTTATTTTAGTCCATATTATTACATTAAATAAAAATAGGCAATAAAAATAAGATGAACTTAATTATTATTACAAAAGCTTTTAATTTTTTCAATGTAAACATGAGAAATGAATTTAATAATGCCTTATTTGGACATATATTTTTTATGAGAATTTTCTTTGTATCTTTGCATGACATTTTTCAAAATTTAAAAGGCAATATTGTCCTTAAAAAATTCTTTTTCTAATTCATGTGATAATATGTAATTATTTGATTAGTTTTTTGATATTATTAATTATTTATGATATTAAATTTCATCGAAAATTAAATCATAACTGCTTTTTAGATTTATAAAATTATTATTATGATTTTAATTTATGTTGTATATTAAATTATTATATTTCAAATAATCTTTGCTAGTTTTTAGTTTTTAAGTACTTTATAAATTTTGTTATTGTTAATGTTCATTATTTTATTAATATATTTTTTTATTATTTTTATCAGATTTTTAATTATTTAAATTGTTATTTTTTATGTTATTAAAAGATATTTATAAAAGGGAATTTTATATATTTTAATTAGATGATAATCGTGAAGAATAATAAATATTTTAATTGTTTTAAGAACTTAATTTTTATTATTGGATTGTTATTAAACTATTATTAACATTATTAGTTTATTTTTCTTATGATTTATTAATTTAATTTTAATTTTATTATTTATTATTGTCATCATCATCATCAAATTAAATTTATGAATTAAATTATTATTTACTTTCTATTTATGATTAATTTAACGTTAAATTTTAATTTGAAGTATTTTGAATATATCTTTATATTATTTGATTTTAATTGATTTATACAATTTTTTACTATTTTAAATTTTATAATAAAGGTATTTATTATTATTATTATTATTATTGATTTTATTATTATTTCTTTTATTATTATTATTATTTATTATTATTATTATTATTAATAATAATTATCGTTTTTTTATTATTTTTTTATTTAAGAAGATATATCCTTTTTAATATTATTCAAATTATTATGTTATTATTTATTTTTTTATATATCTTATTCTTATTTTTTTAATTCAATATTTTTTTAATAATTATCTTCTTTTTGCTATTCTTTTTCTATATTTTTTTATTTTTTATCTGTTATTAAATTTTAATTTATAACGTTATTTTTTCTTTGATTATTTAAAATATTATTATTTTCTTAGCTTTCTTAATTTTTAATAAAATCTTATTTATTTTTAATTTATTTATAAAGATTTTTAATTTATTCTATATAATATTTTCTTGCTTAAAAAAAATAATTTAAAAACTTTTCCAAAAAATTTTAGTTTTTAATGTTTTCATTTTTTTTAATATTTTAAACTAGTTCAGAATAAATTTATCTTTATTCTTAATTTATTTAAATTTTCATAATTTCTTAAATTTCTTCGAAAAATTCTTACATGAATCCTTCTAAATCATCATTTTATTTATTTTCTTCTTTTTATAAATTTTTTTTGTTATTTTCAACTTCTTATAATTATTGTATTTAAAATTATAATTTATCATTCATATTTAACAGTTAGTCATGGTTTTATATTACATAATCCAACTCTATTTTTTAATCCTTGATTTATTTTTATAAATTATTTATAATATTTTAATAATAAGAGTTCATTTAATTCTAAGAATTATTAATATCATTATTATTATTTTTATTATTGATATTATTATTATTATTTTTACCTTTTAAATTATTGGCAATTCCAATATTAAGTTAAGTACTTTTATCTACAAATTTAATCAAATCTTTCGTATCTACCATTTTATGATAATTTTCATTTAAAAAAACATCAGAATACTATCTTTTAATAAAGACTTCACTTTTAGATTTTCTTAAACATATATTTTCTTATAAAAGGAAGGTAAACGAATGCCTTTTTTAGAGTTTTATTTTTTTAAAAGCAATTTATTAGTTTTATATATTATTTTAGGAATTTTTAGTTTACAAATTTTATGAATTTATTAGTTAAATTAAGTTATTATTGAGTCTTTTATTTTAATTTTTTAGAATTAAAATTTAGTTGTTTATTATAATGTTTTCTTATTCTTTTTTTATTCGAATTTCTTACAAATTTCTTTATGTTTCAATCAAATTTTAAATTTTGTATTAATTTTCTATATTTTTTTCGCTTAAAAATTAGTCCTTTTTTTATAATTAAACAATTTCTGAATTTAAATTAAGAATTTATTGGTTATATAATTTATGAATTCTTTAAATGTCGTTTAAATATTATTATTCTTATATAGAATTTTCCTTGGATTTCTATCGGATTATTTTATTAAATAAATTTAAGTAAGATTCCCATATTCTCTTTAATAAATCACCCCTTTCCACACATTGTAATGTTACCTATCTTATTAATTCTTAAAAACAGGCAGCAAATATACATTATAATTCATCAAAACAATCAAATATATCATTATTTGAGTTGTTTTATTTAATTGTTTTCAAAGAAATGTTATTTAACCAAGTTTCTAAGTTCAAAACATCATTTCTAGATGTCGTATTTTTTAATTTTATATTATTTTATGAAAAAGAAGTATCTATGATAGAATTATTAACTATTTAGTTCATTAATTATTATAATTTTTCCTTTTCTATATCGAAACAATTAATATCAATTTTCGAAAAATCTTATTTAGTTAAATTTTCAATATTACAATTATAATTTAATTGTTAATTATTTTCTAAAACTAAATATAATCAATTTTATAAAGTTTTTATTTTTATTTTTTTACTTTTAACAGAGAATAAATCTTTTTAAAGTCTTTATTGATGTATTTAATCAATTTGATTATTAGTTAGTAATTATGTTATTATACCAATCTTTTTGTGATATATTTGTATCTAATAAATCTACTTTATGATTATCTATATGAGACAAATCTGTATAGTTTTTAAAATTTATACTAGAAGATAAATTTCCTATTCTTAATTTATTATAAATATATATATATATATATATATATATATATATATATATATTTATATATATATATATATATATATATATATTCTTAATTTATTATTTTAAGATTTTTTTTTACTAATTTTAGTTTATTTAAGATTTTAAACGAAATTTTCTATTAGAACTATTAAAAATTTTTATTTAAGAATCTTATGTAATTTTTTATATTGATTTAGATAAAATTATATTATTTTCATAATTTTTTTAATTTTTTTAATTTTATTAACTATCTATTTTTATATTTGTTTATTTGTATTTATTTATATTATTTTAATCTTAATGAAAATCTTTAACTGTTTTATATTTGTTTTTTAATTATTAATTATTCTAAATACAACTAATGTTAAACAATTTCATAGGTTTTTATTTTAATCTGATAGATTATTAATTTTCATTTTTAACATATAAAGATATTTCTTTATTTTATTAATTATTAGATAAATCAAATTGTATATTATATTTATTTAAATTCATTTTTATTTTTAATTTATTAAAAAGTTAAATATATTTTATAGTGTTTTAGATAATATTGTAATTATTATTAAATAATATAAAAAAAACTAATTAAAAATATTTAATAATATATTTTTTTAAAAAAAATTAATATATAATTTTTTACATATTTAATTTTAGAAACATTATTATAATTATATATTTATATTATTTGTTATAAGTAAAAAAAATAAATATATATTTTTTTTTTATTTTATCTTTTAAAAAAAAAAATAGAGTTAATATATTTTTTTTCATTATAAAATAAAAAAAAAGAGGAAAAAAAAAATTATGTAAATATTTATATACAAATATACAAATATATATATATATATATATATATTATATAACATATATATATTTATATACATTAAAAAATAATGTTAAGAAGAAATATATACAAACATTTATAAAATTAAATAATATACAAAAGCCAATTCCGTTTAGGTAGTGGTGTATAATCCCACAATCATGGTAAAGAAATTGATCACCATGAAGACCGCCACGATGACCACGGTCATCATCATTAACCTTACGATTGGAGAAATGACCCAAAAGTAAATACTGATATCGAAGAAGATATTAGAGATAGAGGTTGGGATCAGACCACATATGATTTTCCCTACTCAAAAAAGCATGATGATTGGGCATTTGACATAACAATGCCTTTAGGTAATTATTAAACAGATTTAAGTGTAAACATTAGACCTGAAAATAAATAAATACATGAATTAAAGAATCCTATGAGGGTAAAAAATAAATATAACTTATATAACTATATATTTATAAATATAGGCAGCTTATTGGGATCCTGATCATGATTTTCCACATGAATATGATTATGAATCTGAAGATTTAGATTTTCAATGCGAATCTTTTAAAACTTAACATTTTAGAAAAAAAGGACCTCTTTGGTCATATTTTATCTTAGCAGCTCTATCTTTCTTGTACTTCGGAACCGAATTTTTGTATAATCATTATACTGATGAAGATTATTGGAGAATACCACGTCCTCCACCATTGGATTACCCAGATACTGAAGATACTGATGATACAGAAATATATTAAGACTATTAGAGTATGACAGGTAGGAGAATGGTTGATACAGGTATTATTGGACCTCTATGGTATAATATTGTTGATGGAAAAAAAGTCTATTACGATTGGGCAGGGGTTAATTAACCTATGGAAGATATTTGAAAGATTATTATTGTTTTTTTGTTTTTTTTTTTTTAGAAGTATTTTTTTTTTTAAGGAAAGGAAAGTCTTTAAAATTTTTTTTTTTTTTGATATAATTATTAACTCTAATAAATAGTTATAAATTTATTAAAAAAAACTAAAATTTTTATATCGAAAATAAATATAAACTAAAAAATATAAAAATTATAATACAAAAATTTATTAAAATTAAATTAAATTAAAAGTTCATTTTTTATTTTTCTTATTGAGAATTCTATATAATATATAAATAAAATTTCATAAAAAAAATATACTTGCAATTATCTGTTTTATTGGCACAATAACAACAAGCCCACTAAGGTTAATGATCTTATAATTAAATTACGGATTTATGCTCTTTATGACATACATCAGAACATCCTTCACAAATCCAATTCAAATCACAAGTCTCACATCTGTAATAATTTGAATAGAGTCCTTTTTGAAAATCGTAAGTTAAACATTAAACTGGTAAATCTGATTACAAGGTATATTTCCTATTATAAATATAGTGGAACCTTATTTAATTTAAAGAGAGTTAACTATTTCTAAAGAAAATAATTAAGAGAAATTTATTTATTAATTAAAATTTTAGTTTTATATTTATAGAAATTCCTAAATTTATTCTTAATTCATTTCATTTATATTATTTTTTTAAAAATTATTGTTTATTTATTAAGAAAATTCTAATGGAACACTTACTATATATATGTTCTCAAGTTTAAGTAAATTTTCCTATATAGGATTATTTTTTTGTAAAAAAGTTTAAATTAAAATTTGTTTAAAATCATTTATGAACATAGTAGGTTATATATAAAAGTTTTTTATTATATAATTTTTTTTTAGTATTATTAAATCTGTTTTTATCTCCAGTATTTCAGGCTTTTGAAGTTATTAGAAGTATTTTTGGATACTTTATATAAAATAATCATATATTACTTTTTCTTAAATTTCTAATTAATCTAATTATAATTTTATGTCTTAGTATTTTAATTATCCTATATAGTTTTTTTCTGACTATATTTATAATATTATATATTTATTATATATATATACATATATATATACATATATATACATATATATATATATATATATATATATAGATATTTATATATATATATATATTATATACATAAATTTTTATTTATTTATTTTACTTTTTAGATTTAGTTTATTTAATTTTATATTTCTTTTTTTTTTGTTTAGATATTTTTTATGTTTTCCTCAAATTTAGATATATATAATATTGCAGTTTCAGCAAATTTTTCTTTTAAAATCTTTTTGTTTTGTTTAATTAAATGCATATTTAATTTTTTTTAAAAAAAAATAATATAAATAACTTTGACTATATTATCTTTAAATCCTTAATCTTTATAATCACAAATTTCTTCAATCGTTTATAATGATGCTTTATCATATTCTTATAAAATAGTATCTTTTTTTTTAAAAAAATAAATATTTATTATATATTATAATTATTTTATTTATACTTTTAACATTATTAAGACTATATTCTGGAAATATTTCACTTTCATTTAAAATTGTTTAACAAAAAGGACATTTATGATATCGATTTATTGTTTCTAAAATACAACCCTTTATTTTATAAATTATTATTTTTTAAATATAATTAAACTTTGCAAAAATTATGACCACATTTAGTTATAAATGAATCATTAATAGTTAAAAGGCATATTGAACAATTAAATTATTTTAATAATTTTATTCCCTTGTTATATATATATATATATTAATATTTATTTATTTAAATCTTTGAAATTAAAAATTTTTTAATTATACATCTAATGTGAAGTTTATTCTATATTCTTGATTCATTTTTATTTATTATTATATTTATTATGTTAATATAATAATAATTATTAATTATATAATACAATAATTTAGATAATATATTTAATTTATTTTTTAATAAAAGTAAATAGAATTTATCAAAATTAATAATTATTTCAAAAAAATATAATAGCTATATTTTTTATAATTAAATAAAAAAGGTGATATTATTATTAATTAAAAAAAATAAAATAAAATATTTAAAAAAAATAAAAAAATATATAAATTTAAATAAACATATTTTTTATAAATTAGAATAATTCTTTTTAATATGTTATTTTAAGTTTTTAATAATATAAATTAAACCTTGAAAAAGTAAAGATTTAATAATTATATATTAAAAATATATATAAAAGTATTAATAAAAAAAACACACACATATTGAAAAGTATTAGATAGGGTTCTTTTAAAAATAGTATATTATTTTGCATTTTTATTAATAAATAAATGGTTAATAATAATTTAGATTGTTCTAATTTTTAATATTTCTTAAAATTAAATACTTATGCTAAATTAAACTAATTATTAAGCATATTTTTTGTAACCTAATTATTCCTTTTTATAACGAAAATATTTTATAGAAATTTCTTTATTTCGATAAAAAATTACAAATAAAATATAAACCAAAAAAACTAAATTTAATTAAAATAAAATAAAATTATATAACTAACCTAAAAAATAAATAAAAATGTTTGCAAATAAATTATTTCTAAATATTATCAAATTTTAAAAATCCAAAACTATTAAAACATCAAAAATTCATTATAATTTTGCATCAAAAAAAGATTTATATTGTAAAAATAAAAAAACCTTAAACAAAAAATAATAAATAAAAAGCAATTTTAGGAGTATCCAGAAATGCCACATAAGACGAATTAAAAAAAGCTTATTATAAATAAGTACAAAAACACCATCCAGATAAAAATCCAAACGATATTGAAAAATCTAAAGTAAAATTATCAGAAATAAATAAGTATTTATTTTTAACAAAATAATAATAATAATAACATAAATAAAGTGCATATGATACATTAAAAAATGAATAAAAGCGTCAAATATACAATTAAACAGGGATGACAGGAGATGAATAATAATAAGCAGGTGGCGATTTTTTCAGAGGAAATGACGGAGGTCCATTTATGGAAGATATATTTGGAAATTTTTCTCAATTTTTCGATTTGGGGGGAGAAACATAGACATTTAAATAGAAGGGTGATGACATTTTAATAAATATAGAAATATCATTTATGGAAGCAATAAATGGTGTCCAAAAGAAAATTGTTTATGAAAAAAAAGGATAATGTACAACATGTTAAGGTTCGAAATGTAAACCAGGGACTGCTCCTTCTAGATGTACTACATGTGGAGGAAAAGGAAATATTAATTATAGATAGGGACCTATGATGGTATAGATGACATGTAATAAATGCCAAGGTATAGGTGAAATTATAAAATCACCTTGTACAACCTGTAAAGGAAAGGAATCGGTAATAATAAATGTGAAGAATAAGTTAATTTCCCAAAAGGAATTAATCATGGTTAGAATTTGAGAATTCCCAAAAAAGTAAAAAAAAATATAATATAATATATATATATATATATATATATATATATATATATATT